TATTGTTGTTCTTAGTCTGGGGAGAGGGATGGGCAGTAAGAGGAGGAATCCCAGGGAATGGTGCTAGGTCTGGGGGGAGGAAGAAGCTAATGCACCACCCAACATAACTATTCCCTCCAGTGCCCACCTCAAGCTTCCACTGAAGTTCCTACACTCAACACTCTTTGATAGGAGTCCCGACCACAAGAAACTGGCACAAGCTGGACTTTGGGTCCACATGGAGTTACATGGAAATAAAGAGCCACGTGTAGTTGCGGGAACCAAGGGAGTTGGGGAAAGGTGATGGTGACTAAGTACAAAAGCAGAGAGAAAAAGACCATGGCAGCCCACGAAATCCTTGACGAAGTCTCCAGACTCCTCAGATCCTAGAACTAGGGTCCACAGGATATTTATAGCACAGGGCAGGCTGCGGATACAGCTGAGGATACAGCACTTCCCAAGACAGAACTGGGGCAAGTCCTCCCCATCACTGCCAGATCACTCAGAGCAAAATGCTCACAAAGCATGCAGGAGCCAAGAGGGTCTTATCTTGGGCGTGCCACTCCAGAATCACAATTTTTTTTATAAAAATCATGCAAGCTGCCATGCGATAGACCCCCTCAATGCCTGGGGAGTGAGGAGTCAACAACACAGATAACAAGACTGGATGTATCAGAAATAGGGCCAGAAGGGAAAGGAAAGGAAGAAGGTCCATGCTGGACCCTCTAAGGCCTACCTGAAATCACCCGCTGAGGCAGTTCCCCTCAACACTGAACTCTCTCAATGAGGCTGGCACTAAAGTGGGTAAAGAATTGTAGAGGCTACTTTAGTGCTGTTTACAGGTGGCAGGGAGGGCAGAGAGGGCAGAGGGTGGGAAGAAGTAGACCATGCCAACACCCAGGGATGCTCCATGTCAGTGTATGGGGGCAGGGACCCTGACAGGCAGGGATGGGGCAGAAGGCCTAGGCTGGGAAACCCACCTGTTCTGCAGGACATTCTTCAATCCCAAGGCCACCACACAGACCTACGGTCAACTACACATGCCCCAGCCCCTGGAACCTTAGAGACCTCCTAGGGCTTGCATGGAAAGGCACAAACCTCTCCCCATGCATGAGCTGCTGGACAAAGTCAGGAACTATTTCCCAGGAGAGGCTCAGAGATGAGTCACCCTCAACCTCTCCAAAAAGCAGGTTGTGTGCATGTTGGGGGAAGGGATGGATAGGTCAAGACATGGTTTAAAAGAGTGGGCACTCTCACGTTCTGCGTGGGGCGCTGGGTGTTATGCACAAACAATGAATCATGGAACACTACATCCAGAACTAATGACGTGATGTATGGGGATTAACATAACAATAAAAAAATTTAAAAAAATAAATAAAAGAGTGGGCACTCTATCCTCACCTTTTGTAATCCTTGAGCAGAGAATCTGCACAGCAAAAGTTTTAAGGGACTGCAAACATTTTCTCCGAAGAGAGAAAAATGTTGGCTCACCAGCACCCCTCTTAGGAAGACGACTACGTATTTTCATGGAGAGGGATTGCTTAGGGAGAAATCAAGAGAGCCTCTCCCCACCCCAGCCCCAGAAGGCCTGAATAAAATGAGGAGAGTATGCTGTTCAGCAAAGAGGGGAGGTGAAAGAGAGGAGATGGGAGAGAGTGTGAAGGGTGGGAGAGTGGCCCCCCCCCGTGAGATGCACCCCCCTAAACTGTACGTGAAGTTACTAAGCCTCCAGAGTGCCAGATGCTGGTGCCCGATCCCTGAGAAAGGGACTGGATCTCAATTCCAGTTGAATCCAAGCCTGGCAGGCCCTAGATTTCATGGGCCTCCATAGTAATTACAAGCACTAAATAAAAGGCAACTTCCCCCAGGCAGGTGCCGGAAAACAGAGTAAGCAGGTGGCTGCAAACCGGCAAAAAAACTTCTCTTATTTTTTTCTAGATCTTGGGACAGAACAGTTCAGAATCATTAAAAACATAAAACAGACTTAATATCACCTGCAAGGGGGCCTAGATCTAAAGCACAGCTCAGGCAGTTTTAATAAGACCCTGCTCTTTAGGGAGGAGGCAGGTGTGGGGGTACATGGCCAGGGGACGTTCATCCCTGGCCCTGCTGAGACCCTGGTGCCACAGAGCCCCCTAATAGGAAAGATGAAATTTCCCTGCGTATTACGGAGCTAAAAGTCAATTTTGAAACTATGAAATATGACTTTAATAAATGAATACATAAGCCATCAGGATCTGAGTCCCAGCACTGCTGAAAACTAAACTGGATTTAGTCCACAGAATCATATATACAGGACCAGAGCTCAGGGTCTGACGAATTTTCAAATCCACACCACAAGTGTCTTTGATTCTCCGGACAGCCCCCCCTTCTCTCCCCCAGTATGTGTGGGGGTAGTGACTCTGGGAGCGTGCAGGTGCACCTGTGTGTGCCCCTCTGGGTGTGTGGCCACAGGACTATGCATAGTGGCTATGTGTGTGTGTGTGTGTGTGTGTGTGTGTGTGTGTGTGTGTGTGAGAGAGAGAGAGAGAGAGAGACAGAGAGAGACAGAGAGGGACAGAGAAAGAGGTTTCTGTTCTACACTGCTGCTTTCAGTACATGAGTGGCTTTGTCACCACGAAGCTCAGAGCAGAGGATATAATGTAATGTAATGATGCTGTAGCTGCCAACAAGTTAGAAATCAGAAAATTCTCCCAGATGAGGCCGCTCATCACAGGGATGATACAGAACTTACAGAGGACAGCTCAATCATGGTGGGGATTTCCTCACAAAAGGCATCCTTCCTCCTTCCTCTTCTGTTCCTCCCCCTGTTCCTCCTCCCTTCCAACAATCACTGAGGCCCGCCACAAGCCTGACACGTTGTTTAATATATATGCTATCTCATTCAATCCACGGAAGAACCCTTCATCGTACCTATTTCCTTCTCCATTTTATAAATGAAGAGAACTGATTCAGAATAGATGACAGGATACATCCAACATTACAGAGCTAGTAAGTAGAAGATTCTTATAATGTGCTTTTTTTTTTTCCCCAAAAGCAGGAAACTGAGCTTGGTGCCAAAGGACCTAGGGAGGATTATGGGAACCTCAGTTTACCAATAATATGCCCTCCTCTAGAACACAAGACATGTTGCTCTCCGACACAAGGAGTTACAGGTAAATGAGAGGCCATATGCTTGCCACAGAGCTGGGACAAGGAGGGTACCCAAGAAATGTGCTCTTTCCCCTCCATATCCCATCAAAGAACAGGGCCAGCAGCGGCACTCTCCCTGCCCTGGATCACTTTTCCTCCTCATTTCACTTGCACCTGTGGCCCTATCCTATAATCCATTTGCATCAGGCCCTAGAGAGGGGTTTTCTAATTGGAGCCCTATGGCTTCACTGGGGGTATCGATGGTCTTACAGACACACTTACTTTATCCTCAGTTATACAGGGTGGAGGAGTGGTGGGGGGAGTCTTGGGATTAGGCATCCAGGTTCTTGTCCCCCCTTTTCCAATGATTGGCTATATGATCTTGGACTTCAGTATCCATCTCTAGACCTCAGCTTTACTACTTACATCAAAGTTCAGCAAACTATGGCCTGGAGGTCAAATCTGGCCCACCACTTGTTTTTATACATAAAGTTTTATTGGAACACAGCTGCATGCTTCTACTCATTTACATAATACCTATGGCTACCTGCATAGTCCATCTGTTGAACGCAGTCCATAGATGTTGACCTGAAGGATGTCTGAGAATTTCCCAGCCACTAACCTTGTCAGCCTCGGGTCCATTTTCTCACCACAAAGCTCAGAGCGGACTTTAGAGAAAGGTCTCTAAAATGCACATCTGACTATGTCACCTTCTTACTTAAAACCTTTCAACAACAGGCAGAAATGACTTATTGGGGTGATGAAAATGTTCTAAAACTGGTTGATGGTGATGATTGCATAACTTTGTAGATTGACTAAAAATCACTGGATTGCACACTTAAATGGGTAAATTCTATGACGTGTACCTAAATACATAAAGTGGTTTTAAAAAAAGAAAAGCTTTCAAGAGGCCCAGGCCAAGAGGGCCCAAACTGTGCTCCCCCACAGGCACACTCCGCTCTTCGCTCTTCGGACCGACAGCAGCCTGTGCCCTGTGTGTTCTCAGCCCACAGGGAGAGAAGGTGGTGGGGGAAGTGGGAGACGTGTTCAGAAGCTATTGCAACAATGTGGCATTGCTGAGACATTTTTACTACAGTCATGAAAGGACTGGTCCACAATGAGTTGAAAGGAAAAAACTGGTCTTTCATAGCCCCAGCTTGAGGGGCCCTGCTCTAGCGGAGGGGTCACATTTCATCTCCTTGGCCTGGCATTCAAAGCCAGCCATGACCTATTCACCTCTGCAAGCTGAGCCACCTGCATATCTCCTTTGTGACCCACCCTTAAACAAGTGAGAATTTCCAAACTCTGCAAAAACTCTCTCGTTTGCTCCTCCAGCCCCCGGCATGTACCATTCCTGACAAATCAAATGCCTTTTCCTTGCTTTCTCAATAATTACTTATTCATCCTTCAAGACTTAGCCTAGCTGCCACCTCTGCCTGGAAGCCCTCCGGGGGTTGGGGGGTTGATCTTTTGACCAGCTATCCCAGCTGGGATAACTATCCCAGCTCTCAGAACCTCACATTTTTCATCCGTAAAATAGGAATAATAATAGCACATCACTCATCAGGTGATTGTAAGCAATTAGTTTATAAAAGGCTTTAATGCCTCTGTTCCCCGCATTCTGAAGAGCCAGCTGTGTCCCACTGTACAGTAACTGCTTGTGTATCATGGGTCTCCTCTTCCTGAGCCTTCCTGAGCATGATCTCCAGGGAGGCAGGGGCCATGCTGGACCACCTCTGTGCCTGCCGGCCTGGCCAGGAGAGGCTCAGTAAACACAAGGTGCACAGTGAGTGAGTAAATGAAGGTCTTTCATAACTAACAAACTCTAGGTAGGGCAAGAGGTCTATAGATTTAGGATCACTTTTTAAAAAAATCAAAGAACACCATACCTGGTAGAAATGTGGCCAGAAGGTGCTGATAGCAAGCTCTGCTTTCACCCAGCCCTCGGTGACGACCCCAGACACGTTCCAGACAGGGTTCCCCTGGGGCCCGCCGTTCACCTTCACATAGACATTCAAGGCTCCCGGGCTGGACCTGTCGCGGCTGGAGAAGTAGTAATGGAAATCGATACAGTGGGTGTCATTCTCCTTCAGGGTCGGCAGGAGAAGGTGGGCCTTCTGGCCAGAGGCCCTCCCAGAGCTGTTCACCATCATGAAGGATCCTGGAGACCCACAAAGGGGACGGGAAGTAGAGACAAAGAAAGAGAAAGAAAATCCTTCTGATAATCAGTCATACCCATCAATGTGGGGGCCGGAAATCAGGTCACTCTAGGAGGGCCTGATTGATCCTGAGGAAGCCACATCCCCTCTCTCTTCTGTAACTGGGCATTTTAAAACCTGTTCCACAAGGCAGTTTAAAAAGCAAGAGATGGGGGCGCCTGGGTGGCTCAGTCGTTGAGCGTCTGCCTTTGGCTCAGGTCATGATCCCAGGGTCCTGGGACCGAGCCCCGCATCGGGCTCCCTGCTCGGCAGAAGCCTGCTTCTCCCTCTCCCACTCCCCCTGCTTGTGTTCCCTCTCTCACTGTGTCTTTCTCTGTCAAATAAATAAAATCTTAAAAAAAAAATTAATAAATACGTAAAATAAAAAGCAAGAGATGGGGGTGGCTGGGTGGCTCAGTCGGTTAAGCATTGAACTCTTTGATTTCAGCTCAGGTCATCATCTATACGAGGTCCTGGAATCGAGCCCTGCATCAGGCTCCATGCTCAGCGCAGAGTCTGCTTGGGATTCTCTCTCTACCTCTGCCCCTCCCCCACTGTTTTTTTCCCCTCTCTAAAATAAGTAAAATCTTAAAAAAAAATTAAGAAGCAGTAGCATATACCAATATTTCTACAAAGTAGACAGTCTATAAACATTTACAGAAGAAGCATTCTATCCAGCAGGTCCTAAGGGAAACAGAGAACAAAACCCCAGGAAGACAGCTAACTGCAGCCTCCAAGGGTGAAATGTGACATCCAACCTCACATAAGCTCGGGCTGTCTCAATGGAAGCAGAACCTCTACAATACAGGATGTGTCGTTCCAACACATTCCACAAAGACCCTTGCATTCAGGCCAAGGAGTAAATGCAAACTATCCATTAATACTGCAGTCAGCACAGGGAATGACTCTATGTATCACAGGAGGACATATAAAAAGTAGAATGTATCGAAATAAGCAAGGAAGATTGAGGAAATGTGAGAACCAACTAGTAGATTTTCGGCCTGGAATGGAGGGTAAGTAATACTTACTAAGCACTTAAGGAGTACCAGTGTGATGTTAGGTGTCCTTTTAATATACTCTTCAATTTAATCTTCAGAATGACCCTGGGAGGTCATTTTATTTTGGAGAAGAGAGGATTTTCATTTTATTTAAAGACCGAATGACTTGCCCTGGGCCACTCAGCCAGGAAGGGATGGAGGAAAGCCAGATTCTCTCCAACTCAGCGTTTACACTATTGCTCTACAGCGAACGTAACTACAGTTTCTCAAGCATTAAGCAGAGTGCCTGCCCATAGAAAGGAAGGGAGCCTCTTTGGAGTTGCTTTGACAGATTAAATGGTTATTTCTAGTTCTTCAACCCTCTCTGGATCCATGTTCTGGGCCTCTCAGAAGAGGCAGAGGGTATGTCCCCAGCCCTTGAATTTGGACTGCTTTGGTCAACAGAACAAATCAAGCAGAGGCTTGAGACGTGCATGCCTAGCTGGGCTTGCCCCCTTGCACTCCCACCACCTTTCATGAGGAGAACGTGCCCCAGGGAGCTGCTGCCCCTTTCAGCTTAGGATCAAAAAGAGACATGCATGGTGGAGAAAGGAGCTCAGCCAGTGCTAAAGAACCAAGCCATCCCCACCATGCAGCTTGGAGAACAGCCACACGGTCAACAAGCCCAACTCCTATCTGCCAGTCCACAGTCAATGCTCAGACACACAAGTAGGAGAATAAATGCTCACTGCTGTTTGCCACTGAATTCCCTCTCCATTTGCTGGGCAGCATTACTGTGGCAATTGCTAATTGATAAAGGTGCCTGAGAGGCAGAGCTGGGAGAGAAACCACGGGAGGCATATTTCCATTCAAGGGGTCTTCTAACAATGGCCTGGAGACACAGCGAGTTAGTTCCCTGCCACGACAGATGGCTAAACAGAGCCTAGACAATGGAAAAGACATCTAAGGAAATTCCACAATCAACTGTGAGGGCTGAACTCTGTGACTTAAAGCCCTGTGATGCCAGGAAATAAACTGCATCATAACACACAGTAGATAAACTCAGGGGATCCTGGCATGAATATTCCTACCTAGAAAAAAACTATTACTTTGAAATCTTATTTTAACCACTAAAATCTTCTATTTGGAATGAAACCTTAAGACTGCTTATCCTCAGTCGAGATGAGCCACTTCAGAAAGTAGCCGCATTTATTCACCCTAATACCCAGAAGACTAAAGCTGCCAGCTAATAAGTGCTGGGCAATCTGTTGCTCGTTGGGGTTCTAGAGGGTACCAGACATCCACAGCCCATCCTCCCTGGGTTCTGAATGAATTTAAAGATAGACACAGGAGTGGGGCAGCTGGGTGGCTCAGTCGGTTAAGCGTCAGGCTCCTGATTTCGGCTCAGGTCATAATGTCTCAGTTGTGGGATCAAGTCCTGAGTCGGGCTCCATGCTCAGTGTGGAATCTGCCTCAGAGTCTCTCTCTCCCAGTCTCCCCCACCCTCTCTCTCTCTCAAAATAAATAAATAAATAAATAAATAAATAAATAAATAAATAAATAAAAACTTAAAAAATACAGATACACGAGAGAGAGAGAAAATTCAAAACCCTCTGTTTAATCATTCACAAAACTGGATTAGAGAAAGTATCTTGGACTTGAGGCCATATTAGGCTTCCTGCCTTCTCTTCTCTGCACCAGCACACACAGCAGCTAGATGGTCATGGCCTCCTTCCTTCAGACTCCACGCAGGTCCCCAGGGCCAGGGCTATCCTCCAGGGATGACCACATAGGACCACTGGCCAGGCCCATCCCCCAAACGAGCCAAGAAGAAGGGGGCTAAGAGAAATAGGACCCTAGGCTCCCAGACCGTCACCATCCCACCCATCAGAAAACTCTCCATCTCCTAGGATAAGAGCCACTGAAAGAGCCTCCCCCCGCCCCCCACCCCTCCATGTTTTTAAGACAGTCAAGTCTCCTTTCTTATGGCCTGGCAGTAACACGGGGTAAGTGGAGAGATGTCCCTTGTCAGATATATTATCTGTAATTATCACAACCTCCCCCATGAGGCAGCGAGGAAGGAACCGCTGCATGGGGGAAATGGAGTACAGGAAGAAGACTGAGCCAGCATCCATGCCTCTATCTGTTGGTGTACATCCCACGGGGTTCCAGAGGGTTTCCCAGAAACAGGTGAGTGATGTCCCACCAGCCCCACGAATCTTGGGTGACTGGCCCTGCCACAGAGGTGTGGCACAGCTACGGGCAGAGAAGGCAGCCTGAGAAGTGAGCAATGCCTGGCTCTCTCCACTCAGAAGCCCATGGTGCCCCCATGGACATTTCAGCTCCTGTCCACCTGGCAATCCACACCAGGCGGCACAGAAGCCACAGCAGAGTCAGGAGGGTTTCCCTCCCACCAGCTCAGCCTCCTACTTCTTTTCATCCAAGCTCCAGTCATGAGGCAAGCTCGTGGAGGAGGCAGAGCCACATAACCTATATCCACTCACATAAGTTTAGGGCTACTCTCTATCTTGCTGCCCCAATGACTGGTGATAGAGGATGCTCCAACTCCCTGAAGACAGAGCTGGTGAAAGTGCTTGACCCTCCATTTGGAGAAACTGCTGGTGGATGGAGAGACCTGTCCTCTCTGTTCTGGGCACATCGCTGGGTTACATTCCCCAGCCTCCTCTTAGAGGGTGGTGGGGTCATGCAACTGGGTTCTTGCCTGAAAAGTTCTAGCCACTTCCAGGCTTGGTTCATAAAAGCTACCTCTCTCTCCTCACTCCTACCCCCCATTGCTCCACCTTCCATTATCTTGTCTCTCAAAGGACTGTCTTTGAACCAGCAGCATCAGCATCACCTGGGAGTTGGTAAGAAATGCAGTATCTCAGGCCCCACTCCAGGCCTACTAAATCCAAATCTGCATTTTTTTTTTCAAGATCCCCCGGTGATTTGTATGCACGTTAAGGTGTGAGAATCACTGCTCCATTGTCTTTCCCATCCACCAGCCAGCTGAAAGCATAGGATTCCAAGAGAAATGGAACACAATAAAAGGAGCCTGGCTCCCTGAATGACCATGACCATGAGGAAAGGCCACCCACCCAATAGGAACACTTATTTTGGCTTTAAGTTAACAAGGAATAAACTGTTATGGGGTTATTAAGCCACTGAAATTGTGAAGTTTATTTCCGCAGCTAGCATTATTGTTTTGGCACCCCTGTAGAGCCCTTACTTCCTCCCAGTCCCTTTATTTAAGGGGCTAAAGACAAAAAAATGATAGTTACTAAGCAAAGCAGCAAGACACGCCAAATAGGGACATCACTAAGAGCAGTGTCCTAGTGTAAACAGAAGCTGAAAGAAAGGAGAAAAGGAAAACCATGCACTCTGAGCATGAATTCTCAAAAAAGCAAGAAATATCTTGGATCTTCATTAAGATCACTTGTCCTCGGTGGGCCAGAGCTGGGTGGGGTCAAGGTCACAATACCAAACACCCCCCACGACCATCCTGGCCCCTCATGTCTTATCTGGGTGACTTGATACACATGCCGCAGCCTTTAGACTGGACAGAAAGGGATGTGTTTTGGTGCACGGCTCAGAGAAATAGACAAGACCATTGAAAAAATAATAATAATAAAGGGCAAAAAAAATGATGCCTGCCCAGCCCACCACTCGCAGCGCACCTACCTGCAAAGGAGAGAAGGGTGCAGGCCAGAAAGGTACAGCAGGAGGGAGTCCTGCTCAGGAATGTCTTGGTGAAAAACTGGAGGAATGAGCAGCGCTGCTCTGCAGTCCAAGTGACAGAAGGGGACATGGGGAAAAGTCAGCATCAGCAGGTGGCACCCCCCACAGGAGGGCAGGGGTACTGCAGCACTGGGTAGAGGACTCAGTAGCAGCTGTGCTGGAACTCTCCGACGGCTTGCGGGAGTGCACTGCCCCGACGAGTCCAGAAAGGGCTCCTTTCCGACATGAAACACCCAGGGCAACTGATC